AAGATTTTACTTATTTATTTGACACAGAAAGAGAAAGCACCAGCAGGGGGAGCGGCAAGCAGAAGGGGAGGGAGAAGGAGGCTCCCCACCAAGCAGGGAGCCCCGATGCAGGGCTCAATCCCAGGACCCTGGGATCATGACCTGAGCCGAAGGCAGACACTTAACCAACTGAGCCACCCAGGCACCCCATAAAAAAACCCAGACTATTTTAAATCAATTAATCTCCATTTTAATTTCCAGTAAACGCTGATAGACATTACCCACAAAAAAAAAACTCTGTGGGGTCCTCAGGAACTTTTAGAAAACAGAGTCCTGAGATCACGGATCTGTAAATTAGAGATACCATCACCTGCTTCTCAGAACTGGTATGAGAAGTGAGAGACACCTGACATGAAGCACTTTGTATAGGGCCTGGTATACTAGAAAAGCTTAGTAAATTATAGCTATTCAGTTGCCACAAATACTATTAACATCATCTTTACTATGACTTCAGTCTACCTTAGAACTAATGAATGTGCTTTTAGCAACTAGGTTGCTAATGCGGCATAAAGGTGGGAAATACTGGATTTGATAAAGGCAGAAAAAAGTGGCTTCATCCCTCTACCCTGGTGCTTAGTCTAACACACGAAAAGGCAGAGTAAGGGTAAGGGAAACTTGAACTAAGTCCTGCATACTAAGCCAGGAAACCTAGAAGTGGGTGTGTCTGGTGTCAATAACACAAGCAGGCCAGGGATTATCTCCAAGTAGTTTCTACTCCGCCCCAAAGCCTTCACCTGTAAATAACCAAAAGCAAATTCCATGTCTACTAAGAGGGCACGATAGGAGAGTTGGGTAATTCTCCAAAATTACACAGCTACTAATAAGCAAAGGAGCTGGTACTGGCACACTGGTCAGATTCCACTGCCTGGGCTCTTGCACTGCATTACAACACCTTTCAAGGGTGGTTTAGACTGAAGAAGCACGTTGCCAAGTACTGCAGAAAACATGGATTCTTATGAGCTTCTCGAGGAAGCAGAATAGCCTATCAGCAGCACACAATTTTCTTCATAAGGAAAGACCAATACAAATGCTTCTTTCTGTTGAGGGAAAGACTGATGGGACTTTGGGCCTGGCTAGAAATGGCAGGCAGGCCCACAGTCAGTCCGCCAGCCAGACCTAGAAACACCCCCATCCCAGACTGCCCAAGCAGCTCCTTGCAGACATTACCACTATGTCCTCAGGATACAGATTGTCGCTGAAGGAACCATCATCAAAGTTGACTTCATAGAAGGTCTCAGTGGTGAGCCTGACCACCTCACACTGGTAGAAGCGCCCATTCTTGTGCTTGCTAATGACCTTCTGGCCCGCTGTGATGCTCTGCAAGGCCCCCTTGGCACGCTGGAAAAAACAGGGGCTGCGGTTACTCCCACATGCAGTTGACAGGACTGGAAAATGGGGACCAAGATCAATTGGTTTTTCTTTCTCAGGGAGAGACGAGCATGGGAATGGAAAAGTAAAAAGGACTAGGGGATGGGAGGTGAACCAGGTCTTTCCACACCCCAGCAGGGATGCTGCAAGAAACTAGCATCCTGTTTTCCTCCATAAATGTAGCACCTCCTTAGCTCCCAATCCATACTGTCTTATACCTTCCACCTAGTTCCTTTACCCCATAAGAGACTCTTGTGACTTCCCTACTGTTGCCTGGGAGTGACCAAATAGCACCCACTACTGCACACAGCTTAGACACACATCAAGGTGGACACTCCACAGATCTGAGCCCAGGGCCCCAGACAATGCTCCATGCCCACCTCAGCACTAGCTCTACACTCAGGGCTATAGCACAAAGGCTGAGGTTCCCTGGATGTTCTCGGCTGGGACTGCCATTTTAAGGGCCCTGCCATCTCTGGGACCCTCACATCACCCTCTCATTCTGAACTTGCCCTTGATGCAAATGGGATCCCAGAGCATCTCGTGGCATTGTATCCAACCGCTCCTCCCCAAGTTCCCCAAGCACTGCGCTCTGTCACACGGGCCGCCTTGCTATCCCCGAGCATGTGTGCTAAGCAGGTTCCCACCACAGAGTCTCTGCCCTGCTGTTCCCTCTACCTGAAATGCTATTCCCCAGTCATCTGCACACTGGCCCCTTCACATCCAAATGTCAACCTATTGACACTGTGCCTTACTATCCCTCTTCCACTCCCCTTGTCCTGCTACGTTTTTATCCACCACACTCCTCCCCATCAGATATACTGTACTATTTACACATTTCTGTAAGTCTTTCAACTGTATGCAGCAGGAGGACAGGCTCGGTTTTGCCCGGTTCACTGGTATACTCCCAGCACCTAAACCTGGGCCTGACATGTGACAGGCGCTCAGTCAGTATTTGAAGAGTGTGTAGGAAATACTCAATGGTCCCCCCATTTCTCATAGCATCAGCAGTCTACGGCTGCAAACTGAAGAATATGGAGTACTGATGACAATCCCCAAGTCACTGTCCTGGCACCATAACCAAACCCCTGCGCCCGAGCCGTCAGGGCTCAGCGCGACCTCACCCACCGCCCCTCCAGCTCTTTCTCACAAAGACTATTTTTCCTCTTCCTGAGCTCCTAACCCACCTGACCACCTCTCGTGCTCAGTGAAAGATCTTTATGGAAAAGGAGAATCCAGCCAGCCAACAAGGCCTCTGCCATGATCCCACATAGTAGTGACGGGTTTGCTCCTCCAGGTTGGTACTCTCTTGTGTCCTTCACTACCGTGTTCACCGTACTGCTGACAAGGCTTTATCGCTCTCTCTATTCGACTCTTAACTCCCCCAACTACAGTCTGACTTCTGACCAGAAGACCCCATGGCAACTCCTCAGTGTGGGGCACCACTGAGCATTATACCAGACCCGCCCCAGAGCACACGGCCTCCTGATCCCTCTCCACTGGCTTGTCTCTACTTTCTCAGCTACTTCCACAGGCTTCTGCTCTGCTATCTGCTTCTTGTATCAGGAATCTCCAGAGCCTGGTTTCTAATGGCAACTGGATTGAACTACCCTGTTAAAGACTCGTAAAATCCAAATTGCATCCTCATAGTTAAAGCAGCTTTTTAGCGCCTGCTGCTAGCTCCATCAGAATTCTCCAGAAATGACCTCAAAGTCAAATGTCCTACCCTCTTTTTCACTTCTCCCCCATTCCCCCAGAAACCAGCCCTACTCTGAATCAGTTCCAGTCACAGTTAACAGCATCATCATATTTGCATCCTCTCCATCTTTGAGGGGAGTAACCTGAGCCATCTTAAACTCACACTCCTTCACCCCTTCCCCAGGCTAATCTCTCCAGGGTGTTCAACAAACCCTCTCAATTCCACCCATCGTAGGACCCCACGGTTAGATGTGACCCCAAAGCTCTACCTATGTAGAGCTATGTGTTCCCACTGCAGACCTCACTTTGCTCCCAGGCTAACCAGTCTCCCTGTCTCAAATTCTTATTCTTTGAGCCTCTGAATCCACCACCAGAGTAATTGTTAAGAAATATGGCTCAAAATTATAATTTCTGCAAAGTTCCCCTCACAGAGCTCAAACTCCTAAGAAGGGCAGTCCAGGGGCTTACGTGTCCATCTGGTGCTGCTTGTCTTTCAATATCAGCCCGACCATATTCCCAGAACCAGTCTTATATGTTGTTCTCCTGAGACGTGTTCGCTCTGCTTCTGAAGCCCCGAATGCCCTCCCTCTCACAATTCCTACTTACTTTTGAAGTCCCACTTCAACTGCCACCTTCTACCCAAACCCTTTCATAACCTGTCTAGCTAAGATGACATGTAATCTTCTCCAAGCTTCACTATTTAGAAAAGCACAAAAATCTCTACTGTATGGTGGTTAACGGTTAACTCTTCCGAGCTCTACCAGCTCACCCTATCTGCAGAGCCCCTGCTCTGTCCCGGACATAGTGTTAGGGAATAGGAAAGCTCGTGTTAATAAGCTAGGGCCCCCCGAGAAGGAGTGGCAAACAATTACACAGAGAATCACAAGGGATCAACCACAAGCCATTTGGTGCCAATGGATTAGGAGGTGCCAGGCAGGGAGCAGAGATGGACGGGGGCCGCCTCTTCGTCCCTTCCTCACTGGCACGCTCCATAAAGCAGAACGCCAGAGAGAATACTTGCTGAAACAATAAATGGATAGCCTGCAGAGAAAATGATCCTAGAAACCGTCAAGAGGATTCCAGACCGGCATCCTCCCTCACCTCCAGATTGGGGATCTTGTGCCGGAAGCAGGTAATGAAGACGACAAAAGGCCAGTCGTCGGGCTGCATCATCACCCCCGCAGCCTGGGCGCAGCTCACGTGGAAGGCGGTCGGGCAGCGGCCGTGAGAGCACTGCACACAGCAGCCAGCGGCTCTTTTCCTCCGCTTCTTGCAGAAGACGCATTTCTACAACACGAGGGAAGCAAGCCAGGGACTCCAGGAGCTACCAGCGCCATCTCCTCCACCGTTCCCCTGCCCAAATGCACACAGCCCAACGAGCAACCTTCCTCCCAAGACAAGAGGGCGCACACACCTCTTTCAACCTCATATCTGAATACGTGTGTCCTCACTAAGTAGTTTTAACCATACGGTGACTCACAAACCCTGACCAAAACCAAGGGTAAAAGTGGACCACTGGGCCACGCGGAGGATGCCCTCAGAAACATTATGTTCTCCACCCAGAGACATGTAAATGGGGCAATGATGTAGAGAGTCCCCAAGCCCATCTCCTCTTCCTTACCAGTTTGAAGCGGGGCAGTGGAATTTTGCTCACATCCACTGGACTTCTTTCGGCAATGTTGACAAACCTTGCTTCCAAAATTGCCACCGCACACGAGACGTGGACCCACCTGCCAAAAGCAAAGGCTACCTCAGTCACCTCTGGCTCCAAGGTCCTGTGGCCTCCTCATCCAATCTATGGATTCAAGAGTGGGGGGGCCTTCCCATAGTGCTCCCTCCCCAACCCAACATGGCCTCTTACTTCCACCTGCAAGGTCCCAGGACCCAGCAAGGTAAGAACCAGGAGTGTCTCCACACTGAGTATGTAAATGGGTCCCCAGCACACCACCCTGGGTTAGCATAGGGTTGCACTTCTTACACCACAAATTCATTCACAATCTGTTACAAAATGAGCAGCACCATAGCTAATTGAGTGAGGCAGGTTTCAGGGAGTGAGAATAAATCCGAGAGCTCTATACAGACCTCTTTTACCACAGGAGCTGGGTAGTAATGTCTCAAAATGTCTCCATGTGCACCCTTTCTGCCAGTAGCCACAGGTCTCCCCTCCAGGCCTTCACCCAAACTCTTCCACTGGGCTGAAATGACCTCTCCCTCTGCTCCCTTCCCCCACAGCACACTCACTCGTTAAGGTCTGGCCCAGGCCCCACCTACTCTCACGGGTTTGTTCAATGGACATCAGGGCATTTTGAGAAACTGATATGCACCATGATGAGAGCTCTTATAATCAGGCCAGGTGGAAACCTACCACACAATGTGGGGCTTCTCTACAAGAGAGGGAACAGATTGGTTTGGCGTGGCCCCACAAGGGCAGAACTAGGAATATAAGGTAAAGGTGCGGGGCTAAAGCAGAGCCATTTCCACTCCAAGTAAGGAAGAACTTTTAACAGTGCTCACTCACAACTATGAGGAACACGATGACCTTGAGTAATGGCAGCAAGTGCCTTTAAAGGCGTGGAAGCAGCAAGCAGAAGAGCCGTCTGCCTGGAACAGCATGAAGGGTGGGGGAGGTTCCTGTGCTGCAGAAGGCTCCAATTCCCACAGGACAAGAGCCGGAAGCAGGATATTCACCACCAGCTGCCCACCGATCTGTGTGAACTATCCCGACAGCCTGCTTTTCCAGAGCAAACACTTCACCCCCCTCACGTTTCTACCTCAGAACAAGTAAGCGAAGACCAGGCACAAAGGGTCAGCTCGGTGGACAAAAAGCTGCCTGCCAGCTATGATGCCCAGACTTCTGCAGATCTGACTCCACAGGAGGCGGGTGAGCCTGCGCTCTCCTCGATGTCCCATTCTGCTCCCCAAGGACACTCACCCTCCTTCCAACAGCAGGTCTGAGCCAGGGAGAGTGTGCCTGTGGACACGTGCTCACAAGCCCATGGCCACAGCCACCTCTGCACCGGCCCCAGCTACAATAAGGAAACTGTTCTCACTTCCGGCCCCTGGAGCCTCTGCGTCATCGGTGCAGGATCTCCAAACCTCATGAGTCTGTCTTAGCTCCACAGAAAGGAAGACATCACTTATCTCTCTGCTTCGGAGGAGAAGCTAGATCGGAAAGGTCTAGGACTGCTTGGCTCCCCTTGGCATCCCATTTTTAAAATTCGTCTTGGAGATGCTATTCCAGCTCCAGCGATGCGCTTCCCAAACCCTCCATCAGTCATTCTGATGAACAGCCACCGCCCGCAGTGTCTCTCTGCACGCTGCTCCAGAACGAGCCCCGCAGCCTCTGCTCGGAAACTCACCTGTCATCATTGGCTCTCTGTAGGGCTCCTCCTCGTAATGAGCACAAACAGCAATCCTGCCAAGGGAGAGGGGGAAGGGTGGTTACCACCAAGTCATTAACATCCAATCTGCTCCCTCCTCGGCCTCCTTTGGGTAACTGCAGCCTCCACATAAGAAAGCGGCTTAATGGCACATGGGGCCTCGCCTACACAGTCCATGGAAGCAGGACTCCCCTACAGGAAGACAGGGAGACCACCCAGGGCTAAAGTACAGGAAGTATTTGCTTGACTCAACATAATTGTCTCCACTGTTACTGTTAATAATAACAACTGTAAGCAGTCACCAAGAACACTCTGCTCAAACTGAAAGCATTATAGGGCTCTGCCTGCCTCCCATGTGGGGTACTGCCAGGTTCCGGGGCAGGGGGTGATGAAGAGAAAGCTACCAAATGAACCACATTCTGATGGTCCAACCCAATAGCTAAGTTCTGTAAAGGGGGTTATTGCTGGTCCACAGGAGGACCTCTATGTGGTCCAGACACAATGTAGCAAACAGCAAACACAGCTTCCAGACTCCATTCATGCCCTGCCACAGCTGGGCAGCAACCACGCTGTCATGGGGACTTATTCCGACAATCCGCGCTCTCTGACATCACCGTGTACCAGGCCCGGTGCACACTGCTGGATATAGAAAGTCCACAAGAAAAAACCTGGACCTGAGCAAACCCCAAGTCTCATGGGGAAGACAGCAACACTGTGGACGCACTCACCTCCTCCAGGGCATTGGCTGAACACCGAGAACACATCCAGTCTTCAGAAGCCTTTGCCGGGGGAACCCCATAACAACCTAACAAGGATACCAAGATGAGCAAATTAAATCCAGAGGCCAGAGTGAGAATGTAGACTTGCAACTCTTTTCCATATACCATCAAAGTGAAAGCCGCAACCAAATCTTACAGAAAAACCCCTGAATTCTAGAGTCAGGAGCCCCAGGGTTCACCCATACAGTACGGCCCAATGTCTCGAAAAGTCAGAGACTGTAGGTTGCCTGCTTTGAACACACAGGGAGCAGCACAGACAAATCGCCTCCTGGTATCTGTGGCCCAGAGAACAGCACAAGGTTGACCCCAAAGTCAGTGCGACTCCAACTCCATCAACAGCCAACTCCCCCAACAACACAAGAGCAATCTTTGTACTTGAGAGCCTGGGGAGGCCCCTGGCAGACTGGGGGGAGGCCAACATGGGGCGAGTAGGCCCAGGCACCTGGGTCAGGCCGCAGGCGACAAGAGAGGCACTCACTGGCATGGACGCGGACACTGCACTTCTTGCAGGAAACGAGAAGGCTGGTGCCGTCCTCCTCAAGGTAAGGGGTAGAAAGGTTGATGTCCGTGCTGCAGCCAGTGGAGGTGAAACACATTTCTGGAATCAATGGCTTGGTCCTCTGCTTCTGGGGGGCTAGAGCTGAGGTGTTTCCACAGCTCTGACTAAGGCCTCCAAACTCAACCTATGGGGAGAGCAGGTGCATCCCTCAGTGAACATGCGCCTGTATTCCCAGCTTTCTACCTGCTCTGTCAGCAGAAAGCTGCCTCTCTTACTGGTAGGACTCTGGCTACGGCTCCCGGGTGCATAGCCATTATCCCAGAGCTGCTAATTGAAGTTACCTCTAATGACTCAAATTCAATTTCTCACAGCGGCATCAAACAAAGGCCCCTGGGGACAACTGAGAAAAGGGAGCGAGGTAAGAGGCAACTGGGATTTCAATCTTCCCAAATCAAGTGGTAATAAAATGCGCTGAGTTGTTAGCAAGGTTGCTCTTGCGGGCTCCCCGACGTGTGGCACTGTGTGGTGGCCCCCACCCAGGGACAGGACCCAGAGCAGACGCTCCTCGTGGACTAGCACAGATGTCCCCCTGGGGCCCATGGCAGCGAGTCACCTGAGCTGCAACACTGCCACACGGCTGTGGCCTCACCTGTGGTTGCCAGCTCGGGGTCCCTTCAGAAAGAATGCTATGTCTGCGTACTTCCCTTGGCAAACACCCTGACCGCAGATACCTGCTGGCTCTACCACCATTTCAAGGACAGGGCCCGAAATATGTCAACCCTAGGCACAGGCCCCTCATGAAACTCTGAGACCCACACAGTAGGTCTGCTGACCGACAACCAGGCCATTCATTTGTCTCCGAGGCAGGGGCACGTACAGTTTTTCACATCTGCTCTTTTGTCAATGGAAAGGAGCAGTGAGTCACTAATCCAAAATATGTCAGTCTGACGTTCCATTCTTCGGCAAGCGTCAATCTGGGGCCACGCCAGGCTCAGTGCTCAGAGGACTGCTTCTCCACATGCCCCCCTCCCCCATGGTGCAGGTCCCAGTGGAGACTGAACTGCTCACCTGACACATGCTGGCGTGGACGCATTCCTGACCTCCTAGAGGTGAGCCCAAGGATGGCCATCAAATGCCTCAGGAGCCCAGGGGGCACAGCCCAACTCAGCCCCTGAGCTTCCCTACTCCTCTCCCTCCTGCAAACCCTCTGCTCCTACCTCCCCACCCGCCCCGGCACCCAATTTCTTCTGACTATTGCCCGTATCCACTGTGGCAATGGGAAAAGAAAGAACACTGGAGGACCCAGCAGACCACAGTAACGAAATGTACAGTGCTCCAGACTGGCCAGGACAAAAAACCACCCAGAAGGAACAATCACTGACTAGAATGGTAACAGAAAAACAGGTTCCTCTGCAAACAGTGTGAGTGCCCCAGGATGCCCACAGGGAATCCCTCCAAGACTAAGCCACACCGCAGCTCTTCTGCAAACCATTCTCAAGTGAAAACCCACACTGCTGGACTATCTGCCGGAGAAGCCTGACCAGTACACAGACGGGGCAGAGAACACGAGAAGAACAGCCTTTCCCAAGACAACCAGGGACAAGCTATATATACCCACAATTAAACCTCGCTCCCCTCTGGACTGCTGGTCCTGGCTAAACAGAGAAAATAAAGTGGGCTTACCTGATGGTAAGTCTGAAAGATCATACAGACAGCGCAGTGAGGGGCCTGCTGGGCCATGGTCTCATTGAATTCCTTTTCGGCCTCAAAGTTCGGGGGTCGGTTCTGCCATAGTTGGCTCAGGGGCTTGGCCCAGGCCTCTGTCTCCTCAGCCTCCTCCTCAGGGGTCAGCTGTTCAGATGACTCTAGAGCAGGAAGCAGAGCATGAGTCAGCACCAGTCCCGCACATCTGTAGCTCTGCCTAGAGAGAGAATGAGCTCAGCCTGGATCCTTGGTTCCAGGTTTGGCCTAAACCTAAGACCCTACAGGTATGATAGAGGCAAAGGGCAGAAGTGATTTTCAAAAGACTCCTTCAATACTTGGATGACAATGCAGACAGTCCTGCCTGTACCACCTTCTCTGGTTAGACTTCTTTCCCGAATTCAACCCACTCTCCTCTCCCCTAACAGCTGCCAGCATTCAAATCCTATGCCCAAGGGCAGCACAGTGAGACACAGTCTTGCCAGAAACCATGTTACTTGCTGCCTCCAATATGTCAGCATGTTGAGTCCCTACCTTTTAAGAGTTTTCTCTATAGTTGCACTGAAGGGAAACAAGGAAAAAAAAATAACAATGAGATGGCAAGGCTTAAAAGTTTTTACACCATGTGCCTTGGTCAGAACTTTCTAACTCCCTCTGGAAAGGTCAGTGGGATATCTGCCTTTTCTGGACAAGGATCCCCAACTATCCTGGCTCTGCTCAGAGGAAGGTAGAGCGTGACCAAGATGAACCCTCTTTCCCAGCCAAAGGATGTAACACCTTGAGTCTAGACCAAGGCCTAGCACACAATGGCCCATAGGACAAATGCAATCCACTTGGGGAGCTAAGAATTGTTTTTACATTTTTAAAAGATTAAGGGAAAGAAAGAAGAATATGTGACAGACAGCGAAAGGCCTTCTATGAAGTCTGAAATATTTACTATCTGCTCCTTCAGAGACCTCTGGTCTAGATGACAAATACGTATCTCCTCATGACTCTAGACAACAGAGCATATGATTCATCAGGCCTCAGCACTGCCTGAGGAAGGAAAATCCCCTCTGGGTGCCATCTTCCCAAAAGAAAGGGACACATTGCTGAATAGAAAACAAAAAACTATGCTGGCAAAACAAGATGGAAGTGATAAAGGTGCACACTTTCCAGTTCCCCTTAAATCAGTGAGATGGGCATAGCCCACTAGGTTCCAATAGAAACAAGGTCAAGGAGGTAGGTAAACACCATAACTCTAAGATTATGGGTCACTGAAGGCAATCTTTGGTAAAAGGGACAACAAATATCAAAATAAACTAATCCATAGTGTTTCTCCAGATGCTCCCCCAAGTGAGAGAAGTATGAGAGGTTACATGTGGGATGTCCTTCTTTGGCAAGCAAGTCCAAAAAAGGCCCAAGTATGCAGCACTTGCACCTGACAGGAGACCAGCTCCGTGCCAGCCGCACCACGTGACACCCTCCCTGGGGTCACTGCATCTAGCTATGTGTGGGCATCAGGAATCCCCAGCTACATCCCCTCCAATGATCTCACTTCTTCCAAGACAGAACTGCTGTGAAAAGGCCCTACAGACCTATGCAGAGCAGCCCAAGGAACGCTCTGGTACATACTTACACTAGGAGCCCATTTAATTGCTCATTTCTGGCAACTCTGGCTCAGTGTAAATAGTTACCTACTCTGCCTTCATAGTCATGTTGACTCTAATGAGACTTGGCAGCTGCCGTGTGAGTGACCTCAGTGAAGTGTACTGTAACAGAGTGAGGCCACTGCAGACAATTAAAATCCACCCCTACAAGCCCCATCGACCAGGCCCAGCCAGGAACCATGGTGCCGCAACCAAAGCAGGTATTTTCCTTCTCCTGGCCAAAACAAGAGTGACCAAGATAGAATAGAAGAAACAGAAACAGCCTCCCAATCACAAGAGAAAAATTAACACAGTGACATCTGCTCTGTTTACAAAACCGTAAGTGGCCCCAAATCACCCCACTTATGAACACTGTAATGACAAGGAAAAATGTTCACTATGTTAAGTGAAACTTGCAGGAATTTTACAGTTTACATATACAAAACATCACTGAGATGTGCAAGTTAGACATGTATATTTCATGGAGTATTTATGCCTCGATTTAAAAAAAAAATGGATAAGGTGTGGCGGGGGGGGGGCGCGTGCTAGACTAAAAGAGACTAAAGAAACAAAGCTTTGAAATGGGTGACCCTGGTTTGGTTTATACTGGTTTAAAGGAAAAAAGCTAAAAACACATTTTTGGGATAAGCAGGAAAAAATTAATATGGACTGAAGATGGGAGAATATCCTGAGATATGGCTTATTTTCTTCAGTGTAGTAACAGCATTTGTATAGGAGAGGATCCTTCGGAGATGCCTCTCAGTGCACTTCAGGTGACCTGGTGGTGACAGCCCGCTCCCAAAGGTGGCGGTGAGTGTGTGTACCCCAGTGCGTGTAGAGACAGCGCCCATGGCAACATGGTGGCGGCCGCTGGGTATGGGAGGCACACACGGTGTTTTCATTCCTTCAACTTTTCCACATTTGAAACTAATCATAAACAGTTGGCAGGCTGTATGTTATGATTTCAACTACTTAGTATAAAAAGACATACATGGACATAATCTAATATCTGACTAGAAAAATCAGGAAGATTAACACACTAAAACATGCAAGTGGTCACCTCTGCAGGGTAATTCTGTCCTCTTTATAACTTTGCTTTTCCAATTTTCTACGACCTATATTTAGAGCCTTTACAGCACTGGGGGTGGAGACCCTGAAGCGAGGCTGCTGCTACCCAGAGAACCCAAGCCCCATCTGGGCCAGAGGAAGAGCACAGAGGACTTCCTCAGACTCTGACTCAAGGTTTGGCCTACTTTTGACTATAGGATCTCAAGAGACTTTCCCCACCCGCTTACCACAATCCTACTACCAAGGAAAACAGCAGAGGTGGGCACCAGCATCAAATCAGCAAGGCAACATGGGGCTTGCTTATGGAGCAGAGAGGCTGGTGACTCTGGACCTTCCCAGTCAGCCAATGGTGCCAGGAAGGACAGGGCAGGGTAAGAAAGGGCCTGGCATTAGTCAAGAGTAACAAGGGACCTGGTCACCGCCAGAGACTCACCCACACTCATGTTCCTGGAACTCTGAGCTCCAGGCAGCACAGGAGACCACCCTGCCCTCATGGCAACAACTCTGAGCTCCAGTGATAGACAAAGTTCCCAGTTCTGCCCCAATCCCTGCCTATTCCCCTTTTGTCTCCTTCACAGGCCCTTCTTCCTGTCCTCCTACCCCAGCCTCTGCCCTCTCCCGAGTGGCCTCATGTACTCTAGGTAAAGGTATCAAACAGATGGTAGCTACACTTGGTCAGCATAGCATAACAAAGTTGTCCAATCACCATGTTGAACACCTGAAAGCAATGTAACTGTGTCAACTACACTTCAGTAAAAAAAAATTTTAATAAATTTTTTTTAGTATTTATTTGAGAGAGAGAAAGTGAGCACAGGGGTTGGGGGCAGAGGGAGAGCAAGAGTAAGAATCTCAAGCAGACTCCCCACTGAGTGTGGGAACAGATACAAGGCTCCATCCCATGACCCCTGAGATCATGACCTGAGCTGAAATCAAGAGTCAGGCGCTTAACTGACTGAGCCACCCAGGTGCCCCATTTTGAATACATTTTTAAAAAAAGTATCAAACACCCACCGAGCTTAGCCCCAAGTCTACATCCTCCACAGACACTGAACACAGGTTTCCAATCCCAACCAAAGCTAGAAGGCAGGGAGGCACTGAACTCAGGCTTCTCCAGTCCCTACCACAACCACACTCACAGGTCTATATCCAACCCCCATATCCAGCTGACTTTATGCTCCCAACACCCTCACTACATCCCTCCCCCCATCCTTACCACCATCATCCTGCTTCAGACCCTCCCCTATCTCTCAGAGTCCAAGACAAAAGCCCATCTGTTGCCCTCAAAGCCATTCTCCAGATGCAGTCACTAGAAGCAATCCTTGTAATGTAAATCTGGCCACTTAAAACCCGTCAAAGGCTCCTAAAGGCACACTAGAGCAAGGCCTCCCTCTTCCCTCTCCCCCCACCTCACTCTGGACCCACCCATCACACCCTGACCTGGCCCTTTAACTGAGTGGCTCCCTCTGAATCTCTCTTCCCGCTCCCTTCTGCATAGATTAACATCTCCTTTCTTTAGATCTGTTTACCTGTCAGTTTGCCTCACTACCTTGTGAGCTTTTTGAGGGCACGGACATATCTTAGTTATCTCTGTAGCTACACATTCAGCATTGGGCTTGGCATCATTGACAGAATTGCTATCCAGAAAAATCAGCCTGTACCTCCTAGTAAAGAAAGAGAAGAACCTGCATGCGATCATCCTGTATTAGGCACATTCCAAGATACACAGACATACAAAGAAATATGATTATAAATTAAGTATCAAATGAGATCCTGTCCTCTTTGTGGAGTATCTGGGAGAACGGCTCAGCCACAGGCCCACCCCTGACATTCAGCTGGGCCTCCCGATGTCCAGGTGAAACACTTCCTTCCCTCTTCCTGGTGAAGAGGGAAAACAACACTTACCATCATCACTGACGCAATCCTGCAACACGAGTGGGTGATGGCGGGGGAGCTTGCTTAAGGGCTGACGACGGCCCTTGGACTTCTTATTCTCCTCCAGGGAAAAGATGTATTCATCCGCCACCTGGGCAAACCACAAGAAGAAATCAAACTGGTCTTGCCTCCACTTAGGGACACAGCAGAAGGTAGTCTTACAATGAAAAGCAAGGGAGGGGCGCCTGAGTGGCTCAGTCGTTAGGCGTCTGCCTTTGGCTCAGGTCATGATCCCAGAGTCCTGGGATCGGGCTCTCTGCTCGGCGGGAAGCCTGCCTCACCCTCTTCCATTCCCCCCTGCTTGTGTTCCCTCTCTCGCTGTCTCTCTCTCTGTCAAAATAAACAAATAAAATCTTTAAAAAAAAAAAAAAGCAAGGGAAAGGACAGGCATAGAGAGACACAAAGAAATATAAAACCAAACACAGAACACACCTGTCTTTAGAAAAACCAAAATGACAGTACCATGCAAACTAATCTAAACTAGGATTATGTAAACATTTTAGGGCGAAATTTGTGCCTAACAAGTGTAGCTCCTGTTCCTCTCAGAAGCAGCCTGCAACAAATGTACCAAAAATAAACGTACTCTCCAGGAGAGCCACGCCCCCTCCCTTAAGCCCACAGTCATGAGACTGCATCTCTGAGTGCCCCGGAGAAACCAGGTGCACCTTTTCTTAGACCAGAAGGGCAGCAGCACCTGTTACAAAGAGCCAGGCAGCTGGCCATTGGCCTTGAAAAGCTAGAGGACATCCGAAGGGGTGAGGAACAGCTAACCCATTAAAGTAAACTAGGTTAGCCTCTCCTTATGCGCTGTCAAGCCCTCGGCTCTGGCTGATACTATTCATTCCTCAGTCAGTCTCCTCATTAAACAGGACGGGGTGCACATCTAAAACTCTGGCCTAGCTACAAAAGCAAAAGTTGATGTAACTAACGCTGCATTTAGATAATGTCAGAGCAAATGCAATTAGGTTTAAGATGTACAAGACTGAATAAGTAAGACCACATGAGTTTCGTTCCAGTCAATGTATTTAAAACTTCATCATCCT